AAAGAAGAGGATGTGGTATGTGAGTACATAAGGGGCTACAGATTACTAGCTAATGTACCTTGGCATACTGTTGACAATGTCTTGATACCAGTCAACTTAAAGGACAAACTACACTGGATATTGGCTGTTGTCTCATTCAAGGAGAGATGTATCAAAGTGTATGACTCGTACAGATCTGCAGGTCATGATGCCTATGTAGCTTCTGAGATAGATAAGCTAGCTAAGCTTGTACCTCTGTATCTATCAATCAGTGGCTTTTACAGAGATAGTCAAGGCATAGATTGGTCTACTTACTCAGCATACACCGACAAGTCACATACTGATCCCTTTGAAGTTGTTTTCATATCAAATATGCCTCCACAGAAAGTTGGGAGCATGTATGTATTCAATCATCATTCTTGTATCATTTTAAAAATCTAATTGTATGAATTGTTTTTAATTATTTCAATCAACATTTTTCAGGGATTGTGGGGTGCATGTTGCGGCATACGTAGAGTTTTTGAGCACTCTTGGTGAGATTCCACAAACAATATTTGATTGCAATCTACTCCGTCAAAGATATGGTGCTCTCCTCTGGGACTATGCTATGCGAAAGATAGACGTTGATGCCATAAGCGAGAATGAAGCACCCTCAAAGATTGCTAGGCAAATCACGGAGTCAGATTCAAAGTTGCAGATAGTGTAGAGTAGCTTTAGGTGAATGTAGTTTTGGAATGTTGTTTTTAGGTGAATACTGTTTTTTGAATAGTTTTTTGGTGAAGATGGTATTCAGTTATAAAAAACCATGTTTTAATCTTTATCAACAATGTTCGTGTATGACAATTGCAACTTTTCAATCTATGTTTTATTGTTTTGTTCATAAGTATTCATGCTTAATCTTCAGTTTATATTCATATGTATCTTACAGGATATAAGTATGTATTAATATTCAGGCACTTTGCTTGAACAGGTTATACGTATTGAACAGGTTAATATCAAAGTCAGAAACTGTATGTATATTGAACAGGTTATACGTATTTATTGAAATTGTTATATTATAGCCGAGTATATAGATGTATTCGATGTATTCTGACTAGTTATGTATATTTAACTCAGACACTGTCTACGATTGTATGTCTAAGTATATGTGGACAAGGTTGTATTCGATTGTATTCAACACAATACTGCAACTAAATGTATACAGAATATAATCATGATATATGTATTTATTGAATTTGTTATATTATAACTGAGTATATAGTTGTATTTCGATGTATTTTGACTAGTTATATATATAACTCAGGCACTGTCTATAATAAATTGTCAAAGTATATGTGGACAAGGTTGTATTCCAATGTATCCAACACAGTACTGCAATTAAATGTATCCAGAATCTATTAACGAAAGGCATTTCGGAATTTATTACTTGACAATGTCATCATAAGTATTGACAAATCGTTGGAGCACTAATACATGTCAGAGTGTTAACGAAATTCTACGGGGAGCATTTCTACACGTTCGCTTGTTATGTCCTCCCTGCCCACATATGCTATATGAATGTTGATTTTTCGGCTGCAGCAATTCACTTAAAGGTTTATCGCGCTTCTTTTTTGGCCGTCCAGGAGGTCTTTTCCATTTGGGTGGTAATACAACCTCCTCTGCAACATGTGCTGGTATATTCCAGTCATTTCTGTCCGGTAGCTGGTACACAGGCACATCGTATGTCATTACAACAGAATTTAGTTTGTAATAGTTAGAGCAATATTCTTCTGGCATTAGAAACTTGCTCTTCAATACATCCCAAGCATGTGGGCATGGTAATTCATCAACTTGGAACCTCCCACATACACATTTTCTCTCTAACAGGCAGACGGTGTAATGCCTCCCTCCATCGTTAACCGTATGTAAGTATTCAGTTGATGGTACCACCTACATTTAAACATAGACCTATACGTTTTGAGCACATATAACTGAATTACCATATGTATAATGCTGAATTACTCAGTTACATACAACAGAAATGTTTGAATACAAAAGAATACATCATATATTTAGACCGGCAGACTATAAACTATAATTACGTCTTAGCTTATGAATACAATGACATACATCAAAAATCTGTTGTACTTTAGGGAACTGAAGTGTAACAAAAACATTAGAAGGCTACGGCATGACAATACGTCTATATAAAAAATTCAGTATAGTACAGATTTGTCAGTTGTATTCTGATGTATTCGAATAGTTGTATTTACAAGGATTTTCAAAATTACATCAGTGTTTTATTCTAATTGCAATGTCTTTATTTGTTGTATGCGTATGTATTATATTAGGACATATATTTCTATCAATGATATCTTACTCCAGTTGATTTTTGCAGCATGTATTTAGTTGTATTCATATGTATTCATGTCAGATCTTCGATAAAATATGTGTTGTATGCAGTTGAATTTAGTTGTATTCATATGTATTCATGTCAGTTGTATTATGAAAAATGTGTTGTATTCAGTTGTATTCATGTCAGTTATTTCAGAAAACAATTAAGCTATATAATACAATGACATTAAAATAAAACTTACAGTCATGCGTGTAGACATTGCCTCATTCAAAGTCAGCATCTCCTGGTATTTTTTTCCAAGCGTTGTGTATGTCTGTGTAGCTTCTTTGGGGTTACTACAATTCCAACGTCCAAACATCTTCCTAACTTCTTCGAGGAAGTCGTATATTGGCAATTCCCTTGCTGACACTAGTGCGACATTGATTGACTCAACAATATTTGACGTCATTATCCATCCCCTGTTAACAGGTGCATACAACCTAGCCCACTTTTCGTATCCAGCTAACTCCAAGTATTCTTTCACCCTAATGTCTACCTTCTCCACCTTCTCCATCAGACTGTCAAATTCAGCTTGTGTGTATGCTTTTGCCATCGAGAAGTATATCTCGCTCAACTTGGCATGGCTCTTTTAGAATTTCTTATATACGTTGTTCCATAGATGCCATATACAAGCAAAATGCGGTACATCTGGATACATTCTCGATACAGATTTAATGATACTCTCATTTCTATCTGAAACGATGCACATGTTTTCCTTGTCACCATATGCTATCTTGAATTGCTCAAAGAACCACGTCCAAGCAGCATCGTTCTCTGAATCAATAACACCATATGCTAGTGGCAATATATGACCTGTAAAGACAGTTGAATGCATATTTTTAAAACATGTATTTACATCATCAAAAATATTAACAGATTTTATTATAATTCACGTACTCACCTGCACCATCCAACGTGCTTGCCGAAACGAATGTCCCGGTTTAGTAAGATTTTAGGTGACTTCCATCCATAACCACAATGGGTCTACAATGATCAAACCCCTTTATAAAGGCATACAAAGATATATACACGTACATGAATTCATTTTTGGGCGATTTTACCATTCTGATGTGGGAACCTGGATACGTCATATCCATTGTATATAAGTATCCTGGTAATTTTTTGTATGAATCAGCCGGTTCACCTCTCAAAAAATTTATTGCCTTTTCTTTAGCCTTCCACGCCAACATGTAGTTAACATCTACACCTAAATCTGATTTCACATCATCAATAATATCCTTTGGGGTGTATTTTCTTTTATGATTAGTAAGCTTAGGCCTAATCGTACCACCTATAAGGCTGCTACTTGCCTGCCACTGCTCCTACACCTTGTCCTTCAGCGGACATATATGGTTATCGATGAACTCTCTCACTTTGAATAGTTCTGATTTGTTAATGCTTGAAGCCTTAAACCTCCATTCACAATCTTCTGACATACATAATAAGGCATAGCTGCAAAGAATTAATCATTGTACATATGATTAACATAAATGTTTACAAAAAAATGCACTCATATACACACACGAATACATTCTGACATCTATATATATAAATTATTATACAACTGAATACAATTATTGTTATATGCATACACTTAAAAAGGACAGTAAACAAAATACGAAAATAATTAGAGACACTATAATGTAACTATACAAGTAAAATACATATGAATACATATATTTAAGGACCATAAACAAACATATGTTAAACACATCAGTGATGATCAAGTGGAAATCCACAAATACGCATAAATACATCAACGTTTAACTTACAGCTCGAACCAATAATATAAAATACAAAAAAAAATTAAATACACGCAAACCTGACAGCATTAGACCTATCAACCCGGAATTGAAACCTTTGAGATATAGCATAATTCTCCATCAACTCTTTCAATGTAGCCTTATCCTTATATACTTGTCCAACAATAACCTTCCTTTGATTAGTTTTTGAAATTATCAAATCCTTGTTCAGTTCAAACACCCCAATTGCTTCTCTTGAATTGACAAGATCTAGAGCAAGCGTATCATCTGTACCGGAATCATACCTTTGGAGTGATTCGTCTATTTGCACAATATCTCCTTCACTTAAACTACCACAGGATACAAGTTCTTTTTCAATCGTTGTTATGCACAAAGGATACATCCCGAATTCTCTGTTCTCTTTTTTCAACTCTACATACACCCTGCAACCCATGTCATTGTGTATTTCCATTGGCGTGCTATTCCCTTCTACTTTGTATTGAATTTTAATGGACTTTGTGCTCAAATCTATGCCCAGTTGATTAGAAATTGAAGCAACCAAATTATTATACGACGCATACTCCTTTATCAGTATTCCCTTAATTAAAAAATCGACGTAATTGCCCTCATCGTTCCACTTGCCAGCATGACGGAACAACACTGTTAAACTTGCCATATGTATAATGGAACTTTACCGTATTTTGTATACAATTGTATCAATCGTAATTTTCCGTGGTTGAATTGAGAACCGCGAACAGAGAAAAGGGAGAAGTGAATGGAAGAACTGCGAACATATGTTGCTCTTGTTTTCGCTAATTTTTTTGTTGAATCGTGAATGGAAGAATACAGATTAATGGGTAATAGTTTTTGTTCGTTGAGTTAAATTAGGAGAATATCAGGTGATTTGATTTCCTTTCCGTTTTTAACTAGTTCAACCTTCCAGGTTTTGCGCAAATACGTTACTGTATTCACGATAAGGCCGCGTGATTACAGTCAAATACATATCAACCTTAGCTGGAATTCCCTTTATAACGCCTATTTTTGCTATTGTACTAATGAATACAATAGATTAAATACATCAAATACATTGTATAACCACATAAAAGGTATCTATAACACGTAATATAGCAAAAGGTATCTATAAATGGCTAATTAGACCTTAAAGATGGTGCTTTATGAAAAATTCTCTTTGATTAATATTCCCCCTTTTCACTAAGGGATCCGTTTTGAACCTCAATTTGTACATATTAAAATCACAAAATGATACTTTAAAACTAATTGAAAATTCATGAAAATTCTCAATTAAAAATAAGAAAATTTAAAAAATGGAAGAACTAAACACACGTCATGGCTAAATTAAAACAACTATAACAACAAAAAAGCTATCAGAGTAAGCAAAACAAGGAATAAAGTGTCTGGATTTTACAACAACTAATAAATAAACTATTAATTAAAGCAACAGTTATATAAAAAAATCAAATGTATTTATTTTGGGTTGAGTTAAACCTAAGTGGGAGAGGGGACGGGGGAGATNGAATATTCAATTAAATGTCAAGTATCATTTTATGGTTTTAAATTGCACAAATTGAGTTTCAAAATTGATCCCTTAGTGAAAAGGAAAAATATTAATCAAACTATTATATATTAGGGCAAAAGTAAGCCTTTTAAAACTTAGGGGCAATTTTGGATCTTTTTCAAATTTATTTTTTATTTTTTATTTTTTGAACAAGTTTAGTGAAAAAGGCATAAATGAATCTTTCTCAAAATCAGGGAAAATATGAGCCAGTTTTGTAATGGTAGGGGCAAAACGCTGCCCAACTCTAAACAGAGGACAAAAGTGCCCATGAGCGTAAAGTTCATGGGCAATTTGGGCCATTTCTAGATAATTAAGACGCAATTGTAATAAATATGTGATGATCACCGATGAACAATTAAAAAAATAGGGGATAAATGAACTCAGGGTCCAATGCCCGCATAATAAGTGATATAAAACCCTAACGTAATAGACAAGCCGAAGAGTTCAAACTGCAAATATTCATTTTAGTAGATATCAGCCTTATTTATATAAATTATACAGTGGCCGAATATGCAACAACTATAAAAAAAAAACTAAACGGGGAATTCAAAGTGCAAGGAGAATTTGAGAGCTGATATATTTGACATGTTAAAGGTTTACCCCGTCATACGCCGACACGGTTAAAATTACATTATATATATATATATATATATATATATATATATATATTATCTCTAAAGATTAATAGGTTGAACTTTTTTTTTATATGTAAATAGTCATCCATGGAAATTAAAAATCTTTTATTATTTACGTTTTATAGTTTAAAATAAAAAAATCTTTACAAATGGTATCAAAATATTACTCCCTCCGTTTCATATTAGATGGGGTACTTTCCTTTTTAGTCTGTTCCAAAACAAATGACACATTTCTAAATTTAGAAATAATTCAACTTTAAACTCTTTCATTTTACCCATTTACCCTTAATGAGAAGCTTTTATAGCCACACAAATATCATGACCCCACAAACTTTTACCCCTTAAGCTTTTAAGACCACAAGTTTCAAAAATCTTCTTCTTTTTTCTTAAACTTTGTGCCGAGTCAAACTACCTCATCTAATATGAAACGGAGGGAGTAGTTCCTAAACATGCTCTGATACCACATGCAAAGATTTTTATTCCCTATATATATATATATATACTAGATAAGTGGCGCCCGTGCTGTGCACGGGCATATATGCCCGACTTGTTGTGTCAATTAGACCTTTTAAAAGGCGTTTCAACATAATAATTGAGACGGCAAAGACGACCGCATTTTTTGAGATATAGGTACTTCTCAAACTATTTCCTGAACGCATGGGATATGTGAAAAATAAACAAATCTCAAATGACATGCCACAACAAGCAGTTTCCTATATATGATTGACAGAAGAAGTCACTATGTGCTCTAACTTGAGCTACGGTCTCATATGATACACTTAATACATGCACTACTCTTTATCTTTTTTCTATTTTTACCCCTTACATTTTGACTTCATTCCAACAAACACAGCTACATGATCACCAACAAAGTTTAACACCATGAATATGTATCATTAAAGAAAAAGAAAACTAAGAACTTGGAATTAGTTCGACATTTCCAACAATTTTGAAGTCACGGTCAGCTGTTAACTTCAACTTTTGATGATAGCTATTTGCAAAGTAAGTCCTGTAGAAATAGATTCCATGAAAAGTCTTAGTTGATCAGCAAGCAACAACTTTCTTTTCTTGTATCATAGTGGTCTTCTTCTGATCAGAATCTCCAATAGAATAATGCCTAAGCACAGATATATGTCACTCTCATCAGTCAATTTCTGAGAAATCTATTGAAGAATGATGGAGAATGTTTACCTTCAAAATTTGGACAAGAAATGTATACTCCTTGCAGAAAAAGAAGCAAAAAGTTTAGACACAAAAGAGGTTGTCGAGACGCACAACTTACAACCAATTACAACATCTGAAGGTAAAAAATATAACTATGTTATTAAGCAGAGTATCCAGTCATACAAAAACAATTGATGGTATTAGTTGAACGCTTACTGTATAGCTAAATCTGTGCATTTAAGGACAGAAAAAAATGAATTTGTATGATTGTAATTATGTGTTTTTCTTCAAATTAAACTATGCTTTTGTTTCTCCTATATAAGTTACCACTTTATTGACGCAAAGTAATATTCAAACATGAGGTTTGAGGCACTGTAATGCTTCAAAATATTGTTGGTACATATAAAGTTGTTAACATGGAAAAGGTAAGAATCAT